CCCAAAACCCTTACCCTATTTATGACCAAAATCTGCGATATTCCCTACCCTATTTATGACCTGACCAAAAATTCGAAACCCTATTTATGACCTGACACTAAAATCAAACCCTGTTTCAGACCTGCGTTAAAATTAGTTCCCTAGTTCAGACCAATGTTAAATTGCCGGAAACATAATCTGTGAAGGGCTTTTGTTGATTTTCTTTTCGATAATGATGAAAAAGTGGCTTGTTCTTAAAAACGTATCCATATCAAGGCTAGAGTGCAAAACCCATACTCTATTTATGACCAAAATGGCCAAAATCAGCTAAAATCGATACCCTATTTATGACCGAAACGGCTGAAAAACCATATNTTGGGGCCGCACATACCTATATAGTCCATATAAGGGAGTACCCCCCCCCCACCCCCCGGGCGGTCGCTATAGAGTAGGTTCCATATGATCGCAACGATACCTGAATTTGTTTTCAGCGACCTTGACGCCAACATTATGGTTTATTGACTTTGGTCAGGGGAAAACGTGCCAGTTAAGAACGAATAGCTTGACAAACGTATCTATAATTTGATTGATTTTGTTCAAGTGGAGTCCTGAAAACTTGGAGACACAAAGACCAACAACAGTAGAAAAAAGGGAATGAAAAAACGATCGGAGGCAGAATTTCGACAAAAAGGTGATTTTGGAGTGCAATTCCGATGGAAAGAAGTGGCCAAAAAAAAAACCTGATAGGTACCATTTTAGAGCTATCAGAAAAATGTTGGCTGTATTTAGAAACAACGGAAATATAAACAAACAAAACATAGGCCCAACCCACGTCCGGTCTCTTCTAATTTAATTCTTCTTCTAGAAATGGCACGAATGAGCTTTTCCGACCTGATTGTCTAGGAAACAACCTCATAAAACACCTAAAGCTTCTTAGAAGAAGTAAGCCGGGATAAAAACTCAGCTAACCGGCTATTTACGCCGCAATTAATCAGCAAACTAGAAGTTCGTGCATGGAAATAATAATACCGGGCGACCAAGTTCCGCTTTGTCTGTCGTGCGCAAGAGATTTATTTAAAAACTTTAATCTATAGCTAAGTACATTATAGCGGATTATAGTGTCGTTAGGCGGTGAGTCTGAATTCCTCTGTTAGACGAACTCTCATTTTTTCACGTACGCAGTTTGTTATAAACAACACAAAAGGACCAAAAATGTACTAAACATAACGTAAGGCTAATGATTTTAAAATAGTTTTGAAACAAGAGACGTCTCTTGTTTTGAAATCAATCGATCATTTCCTTTTTCGCGGTTTTCTTCTAAAACTGGTGCGGATTTGTACTTTTTGGCTTTTAAGCCTCTCAAGTCACTAAATCAGCAAATCCTTGCATCCAGTCAAGATGTTCCACATCCAGAGATCTTGTACATGCACATTCTCTTGATATGCCAGTTTATAATGTTGCCAAAGTAAAGGGAAAGTTGATCACACTGCCAGGGATGAAGTATTTCATTCACGGCAACATTGGCCGAGCTACGTATCAAAGCACGGCACCAAAACACGCAAATTTTTGAAAGATTTTTTGTTACTAGCTAAGTTCAACATATATTTCACTCAATGTTTTATCCTATAGAATCGTTGCTAGCAGCGCTCAACACCTATTCGTGATTTTCATCAAATTTAAATTAATTTCACACTTGGGTAGGACCAAAGTACACCGGAAATAATAACACTCTGAGGGAATCGTAAACAAGTTTTGTATGAGTTAAAAGTGGCCAAGCGGTAACTACGTGTGCATGCTTTATATCTTGAAAAACTACCTTGCCAATTTTTGATGCGCGTAAGACAACACCCTGAAAGCTTCAAACACCCTCCTCCCCGCTAGGGGGTTAAAGAGAAACATAGTGAACAGAGCAAAAGGGAATCAATAAACATTCGCGTTCAGCTAAAGGACAAGGTAGAGACAGTTTGCTGTCAGCATCACAACACTAAAACGGTTATTAGTTTTTTTGTGTGTGTCTGTTTACAATTAATATTTTGAGTTAATTGACTGTTAACTGACAACTCGTTTAGCTAACGTTCAGATGTGTGTGCTGCCTCTCTCGGACTTTCCTCTAACCCTTCTCACACGCTAACCCGACTAAAACACAGGTACCGCAATGATTCGATTTAGCGCCCTCCTTCCAATAAGCGCCCCCTTTCGAATAAGCGCCCCCTTCGAATGTGTTTTTATTAATAAGCGCCCCTATTCCAATAAGCGCTCCCATTCTAATAAACGCCCCTATTCTAATATACAGGGCCGTCAGAGTACCTATCAACGGAGGTTCATACCGGTTAAGCGTAAACAGAATTATGAACCAACATTAAAGCTAGAGACAACAACAACAACGTTTGATAAACTTAGCGTAACTTGAAGTTGACTGACCTTTCGGAATATTAAAAATAGTGTAGAATTTCAGCCGCAGACAATACAGTCACTGTCTCGAGTTTATACAATGCCGGAATGTCATATGTGTCAGTACACTTGTTCACTTTGTTTAGCAAAAAGATCTGCAAAACCCGTTCAAAAGAAATCAGCAAAAACAGGAGCTCAATCAGTCGTCCAAGAACCAGACAGGAATGAGGATGAATTGAAGGCAAACAGTGAAACCATTAGCACATAAATCCTGCATAAATCCTCAGGACAAAAGCTTCTTTTTTCATGTTCATCCGCATTTGAACGATTGAATCACAGTAGTGTAGGTTTGATATACTCTGTCTCTTTCGAAGACTGCTGCAATTATTCACACTACTTACTTTGAGTAAGAAGAAAGGCTTGTGATGAATGCTGAGCAAAAATGAAGCTTCCTTTTAAAAAAACTCCCAATGTTTGTTTATTATGATAAGTGATTTTGTATTGGGTACGTTACGTCTGAAGAAAAGTGCAGAAATTTTCCGTTTTGGTCTAAAACAGGACATTTTTCTCTAAAAATATCAAATCGAAACCAAATAGAGTAGTCATTTCTTTGATTTAGTCTAGACCAAGGTAACAAAATCCACCTTGTTTTGGTCTGGAATAATACGACACTGGTTGTAATCCGTCTCTAATTCTCCCAACCTTTGCAGTCTTTGGGGTACATTATTGCCCTTCTCTGGTGCTTTTATAACTTAGAAAACTGTTTTTTTTGAAGACCTAATTTCCGCTTCACTCTAAAAATATTCTCAATGTCTATCACAAAAATAACTTGATAAAGACGTGCGTCTACTATGATGGCAGTTTCAGCTTACTGGTAATCGCCCACTTTTTGTCAGTTCTCCAGTCAACAACTCATGTAATATTTTTTTCCTTTCTCAGCGGTTCAATGTAACCTTGAAGAATAGCATTGCAATTTCTTGCAATAGGATATTCCTCTGGTAAGCTATTGTCTTACTGAGAGGTATGATCGAGGGGGGAGGGGTGGGTGGGAAGGAAAAAAATCCAAAAAGCCACCCAGTCCGCTCGCTGGTCCTGTCATCAAAAGAAAAAGAAAATCTGAAGTGTAGTGACAGTGATGGATTTACGCTAATTTTTGAACCTTTCATCAACGTGGGAAACGTGCGCGGGTTTCAAATGAAAAGTTGATCGGCTTTCACTAACACGAAGGGGTAAATCCTATAAGTTAAGACTTAATGCAATAAAAAGAGATATATAAGCATGTTAGCTCGAGAGCGAGTGCAATGAAACACAGCCGTTATTTTCTGTTCAAGGTATCAGTAAACCTAAATTAACATCAAAACGTTAGCGCGTTTTAGTGCGGAGGCTTATCGTGTGAATAGAAGGTCGCTAAAAGTTAAGGTGAAGTTCAGTTTAGGGTTTAATAAAAGGAGGAATTTTCTAGTAGCCCAGTTTAACTTTCATGAACGTTTCAGTATTCGCGTGTTGTTCTCTCATGCCTGATCAAAAAATAAGATCAGCTCCGCGTGACTGCCTTACTTACCATACGACCTTTGATTTTACTCATAAAAATATCAACACTCTGGAATATTTGCTGATTTTTAAACCACAAAACGAAAACAGATGTAATCAATTGCCCGACATAATACAGCTTATGATACTCCAATTTTTTAATTAAAGAAAAAGTACTGCTCCAATTTTAAATTTGGCGAACGTTTCATTCTTCGTGTGTCATTCTCTAATGCCGGATTGAAAAAGCAGTTCCGTATGATACCTTTCGTTGCCATAAGATCTTTGACTTAAGTCATAAAAACAAGCTGTTCTTGACACTCGACAAATTTACTGTTTTTTTTTTTAAATCTTAAATAAGACTACAAAACAAATGAAATCTATAGTTGCTGTTGGACAACTTCATCTTCTATCTTTTCAACTTCTTTATAACCCGGTTTATAACACAGCTCACAATACGTCAAATTGTTTTCGTTAATCCACGTCAGACTGGATATGAGATGTACTGATTTCCACTTCACTCGAGTACCAATACATTTTGCTTTAATCTTAAGTCAATTAAATTAGGTTTTTTACATTTTTTTATACATTAATGCGAGTGGCCTCAAGGAGCGGGCAGATTGTAAACCCATAAGAAATTCAAACGCCTCTTCAAGTATTAAATTTGTCAATTATTAGATAAATAAACAAATGGCTTACACACAGATAACCCCATCTTGACTTTAGAATATAAACTCTGCTGGAAATTATAGCAGACCTTGAAACCCTGCTAACCAGACGTAACTGACCAAACGTAAGCGGTCTTTGCCTTAACGAGGTAAAATAAGGAGGGAGGAACTAGAAGACTTGAGTACGTGACTATTCAATACAGGAGTTCCCATTACCCACCCCTCCCTTCCAATCATCTTATAAATTTGGATTTCGTCAGTTGCCAGAGTCACAACACAGCACAAACAAACACTCACGTGATTGGTCTTCTCCTCCTGCCTCTGGGACAACTTTCATGTTTTCTTTGCTCAGCTAAAAAAAAACGAAACACTGTATCTCAAATTTCTTTCTACACCATTTTCAGTCAACCTGATCACACAGAAAGAAAGTTCATACATATCATTTACCAGAACGTAAGACATCAAGACAAAAGTTGTTTACCTTGAGGTAAAGCTTGATTTCCTCGGCTCGTCTCATGTACTTGCTCACCTTCAGAAAACATAAAAAACGACATTAGACCCATTAGGGAAAGAAGCCAAACTTATACAAATGGAAGCTCAAACGTCATGGAGGGTAACTTGCCTCTAAATGTACAGCGTCCTTGTAAGGGCCACGAGGAGTTCCTGGCACAAGACACAAAAAACCAACAATTCAGCAACTGTTAAACACGATATATCGACCCTGTTTGTCATGTACAGAGATGATTCGGACTCCACGATGTCTGGCCAACGTGATTGTTGTCCCTTTGAAAATTTCACCTGCAGCAAGAGTTAATTTCTCATAACCTCTCTATGACAAAGTCAGCTGAGTAGATTTTAACCATACCACCTTTAGATCTTGTTCTGGATATGTGCACATTGCAAGGACTATATAAAGAAAAGATAATATTACATGACTTAGTTTTATTAATTAAAGTACAGCTGCTACCTGATAATATTGGTAACAAGGCCTCCAGGGCGACCTGGTACTGGGACAGTGCACTGTCATAAGCCCCGTGCTCATCCTGAAACAAAACACAGTTCCAAGATAAGATTGTAGATTAGAGCGGTTTTAAATTGGTGTTGTAAAACCAAAAGCAACGTAATCACTCTAACCAATTACACAGGACACAGAAAATCCCGTGGGCCAATCAAAACTGGACGTAATTTACAAGTAGCTGACGCAAAGCGCGGGAAAACGTGTGTGAGTCATGACTGATTTTGGTTTTACTTCTGATTGGATGTCAAAGTGGCACGAGTTTTAAACAATTATTGGCTGAGGTTTTTGTGATATCCAGAATAATCAAGTTTGAGGTAGGGGTTACCAGCCTCAGCCTTCGGCTTCGGCTGATAACCCTTACCGAGACCTTGATTATTCTGGATATCACAAAAACCGAATGTTTTGTTATATATTGAATGAAAAAACAAATGGAAGTAATGTTTTTGCTTCTTCACTGATGGCAAGCAACACAAAGCGAGTGAACTTGACATGATTACCCTTAGAAATCATGCAACACAGTCATACATGACATGATTACCAGTGACCTTGAGTGTCCTTGACGTGATTATTGTATAATCTGCCGCTAGATGACGTCACAGACGCTGATTTCAAATATTGACTGTGTGCTTTCGGCCAATCAGAAAAGAGATAGTGAGTTCAATGTATAATAATAAAGCTAATCATGTAGGGTGATCTTCTCTCATTTTTACACTCTGGGAACAATTCCTCTTGGGAGAACTTAGACCTTGTTCCGAAGACAATTTCCTGTGCTATTCTCATACCCAATAAAACATCTCTCAACAATTGGGTCAAACATTTAATGATTAAATAGGAAGTCTTAGTTAACTACTTAAACAATAAAAAAAACTAAAGAAAGGACTACAGATTCATGTGTAACTTACTCTGATCTCAGCAATGTTTGCGAGATGAAGTGCTGCTTTCAGCTCTGCATGATCCTTGCTATAGCGAGCTAAAAGTTCATCGGGATTACTGTGAGATTTTATCTTAAAACACTGCTTTAGTTCTTCTGCTCGGCTCATGTACTGATTTACCTAGAAATTAAAGATTAAAAAATGATTGAAAAAAAGGAATACTTATGTTCATAAATTATAAATCTCTTTAATGCAAGATCCTGACTGGTCAATTTTCTTTTGCATTACAGAAGTTTCAGTATATAAAAGGACATATAGATTACTTCAGCCGTAACTTGACTTACCCTCTCTCTTAATCTTGTTTTCATCTGTGGATCTTTCTCATCTGTAAGCCAAACAACCTCATCAAGATTTTGTTAAAACAGTCATAACTCAGAGCAGGAATTACTAACAGAAGCAATTAACTTACACTCAATGGCTGGTAAAAAGAAAGCCATGGCTTCACAGTACAGTTTGGCAGCTTCCTTCAGCTCACTGGCGTCATCCATCTTTATGGCCTCTGTCACAAGTTTTATCTGAGAGGTTAATACAGAACAAAATGAAACAAGGAACTATTAACAAACAAACTTGAAAAAGAAACACACATAATCAGCTCAAACCTTAACAAGTTCACAGAGGTAACCAAACTGAAAGAATGATTTGGTTAGTAGTCAAGTCTTGCAGATTGGCATACATTACATATTAGGGCCAACACAACTTTTTTTGAAAAAACAAAATCAACAACTTACAGTTTACCTAGATCATTGGCAATTTAACAATCTTGAAATTGAACTTTTGAAGTTACTCCTGCAGATCTTTCCTAGGTTACTTTTTGACTTGTAACTTCACTGTTAAAAGTTTTAATCAAACAAAGGACCAATTTATATATCGTTACTCACTGCTTTCTCTAAACATAGTGGCGATGGGACATGTTCCAGATCAAGAAAAGGGTGAGCAAAGAACTCTTCAAAGGATATTCTGGCCAAAGGATCCCTCTGAAGAAGTGCCAAAAGAAGATCTTGACAGTCTGGGGACACCTTGGATCCAACAGGTAGCTGATGACGGATACAAAAGAACTTACAATTAAACAAGGTGACATGGATAACAAACATCAATGCCAACCTTAGAAAATTTGAATCCAGGACATTGCTGGGAGATCACTATTTTGTCCAAAGGTACCTCTTGTTGACAAGCTCCTCCCCAAAAATAAACAGCCATAAAAACTCTCAAATTGAACCTGATTTCTAACATTTATACAAAGTTATCCTAACCCCCAGAAATCCACCAAAATAAGCAACAAGTAGATGCTTTGATTTTCATCCATATCCAGGACATTCATACATTAAAATTTGAGAGAACAGTGTTTTTGGTCATGCAGTGTCTAATAGGTTTTCTCACTATGTGGGAGAGTTCAGGTAATATATCGAACATGAAGAGACAGTGTTTCATTGGGATATCCAAACACCGAGAAGAGAGTTGGAAATACGATGTGCTGTGGAGTATTTTTGACCAAATTCGAGGTGTTGGATAGCAGATGAAACACTATCTCGAGTGTTTGATATATCTTCTCAATTGAAAAAAAACTAAGGAGTAAAGTAACAGTAACAGAGAAGTAAAATCGTCAAAATCTATGCAAAATAAGACTGGGTATCCAAACCTCCTTCATGGTTGTGATTTTCTTTGTTTTAACTTGATGAATAATTATTAATGAGTTTGAGAAGGATGATGCCAGCACATAGCTGCCATGATCAGCTTGGCCTCCTTAGGTCTCATCACCCAAGTTGTATACTTTATTTATGTTAAGTGTATCTTACTGTAATTGGGTCTGAAGATCGTATCTTCTTCTCAAGTTCAGCAAAAGATCCTGAGGCAAAAGGTGCTATACCAAAAAGTGCCTCTGAAAGAATAAAAAGAAACCTTGAGCTTGTTAAGACTGGATGGCTTGTACTCCTCAACAGTTTTCTTGTAGAATTCAAAACAGCTCTCCTTGCACTAACTGTGACAGTGAATGTGATACAAACTGTGAAGCACTGGTGAAAAGGGAGTCCCTTTGGAAGCAAGAGATGTACAAAAAAGCAGCCAGCACTTGTTCAGTATGTATATTTAAGGTAACTTTATAATCATTGTGATAATTTCCAGGGAAACTAATGTAATGCATCTGTGGTAAAGAAACTGAAGACTTGGCTAAGGTTGACATGTTGTTATGGACATCGATACTAACTACAATGTACATATAGCAAGTTGCACACAGTAAGCTTGGCAAGTCCTGTGGTCATTGGAATTTACTAAGCAACTCACCATAGAGAATTACACCTACAGACCATAAGTCTACTCTGGCGTCATATTTCATAGAACAGATCATCTCTGGTGCCTAACAAATATCATATGTAAGCATAAAATAATATTTATCTGTTGAAGCTTATTATAAGTAAGTTGCTAATAATTTGGCTGAAGAACAGTAACAATAATGTGTAATGACAGTATTAAGCAACTTTGTAGATTTCAGTCATAGTAGGGATTACATGTAGATCACATCTTTCTATAGGTTTACATCATGGTCGATGAAGGGTGAGTGATTTACCATACAAACTCCCCTCACTATTATAACAAGGTGACCCTCATTACTCAAAGTTTTGGTTAATTTAGTTCACCTCTTTGAGTAAATTTGGCCTGAAATTTGACCTTTAGCTTGAAAGGAAATATGGGAGCACGCTGCTCTCAACCAGTCTGGCTGAAAAACGTTTACAAAATACTGTTTCAAATTTTCTCAATCAATCTTGCTAAAAAGTTAACAACATTGTTTCTACAACAAAATTACTATAACTGAGCAATTTTTTCCTTAAAAATAGTGAATAAGGTATATTGTTGCGGTTTAATCCTCTAGTCCTCAAAACAAAACATGTTGATAAAAGAAGGCCAATTGACTGGTGTACTCTGACTTATGTCCTTACCATGTATAGAGGGGACCCTCTTATTGTTTGTGTCTCCTCTTCACTATGTAAATACTGTGCAAATCCAAAATCTGTTTCAAAAAATGAAATATAGCTTGAAAAAGGGCATCTCTCTGTTGATTGAGTACATGTACATGCTATAAAGTTCTTAAATAATTAGCCCTGCACTTGGACGAGACCTTCTTTTAAACCTTGATACCCCTGTTTTAAATATATAAATATGTGCATAATAAATGAATGTTAATAATATCACATAAACATCAATATGGAATAATTCATAACAATCAAAAGAGGCTTTATTCAAACTTTGCTGCCAATGCTATGAATAAATGAATACATAACAAATGAATGTAAATTGTATTAAATAAATATCAATGTTATGTAATTTATAATTAAATTACTCATGTATCACTCATACATTTTGTAACTGAAAATCGCAGAACAAATGCAAATTACAATACCTGCCAGTTTCAGGACAGGATTTTGTCTGGCTGACAGCAGCAAATTCTGTGGTTTAAGATCCATATGAGCAATGTTGTTTGCATGCAAAAAATGAAGAGCAAGAGCTGAAAAAAACAAATTGAAAACTAATTCTAAGGCATTAACAAGCTGAAAAATTAATTCTTATAACAGGTCTGCTTAGCCCTAAGAACATGTAAATCATCACTACACTGAATGAGCAAGCAAACATACTGCCTGACTTTGTGCAGTGCATTCCAGGTAAGATCATCCATTGTCCTTAATTGGCTGAATAATGAATGCCCTACATTACTGCCAACTTTTAATGTTCTAGCATTTTAAACAGGGGATGTTACAGCAGTAATTTTAATAATAAATTTTACCTCAAAGCAAGTCAACATGAAATCCTGTTATTTTACAACAACACTTACTGCCCCCTCTGATCTAGATTTCTGCGATACCTCGCAATATTCCATCTACTACGTATTATTTCTGCATATCTTCAGTTAGTTTGTTATAGTAAATCATAATTATTTTGTTCAATGTTGCTTAACATAATGCCATACCCAACTGTCGTAAAAATCTTCTTGCAATATCTTCAGGCAGAACTCTTCTACTGTGAATAAACCTTGATAGGTCTCCTCCACTGCAATACTCCATTATTAGGAAAATATATTGGTCATTCCACTGGATAAAAACAAATACCAAGAATAATTATTAACCATTAATTCTGAAAATGTCCATTGACCTTAAAGTACTGCTAACCCCTTAAGGATCCCAAATGCAAAATTTAAATTTGTGTTACTGACAGTTACATGTACATGTCTTGCACATCTTACTAATTTGAGGCATATCAAGAAAATACCCAAAGCTGTTACCGGCCTAATATATAAGATGGCAATTAACTACTGTTTGGAAATGTAACAATTTTATACTGCCTGGTCCCTCAGTGTTTTCTGTACTCAATCATAAAAAGTGACATCTCTGATCAAAATTTGAAACCAAAGTGGGGTTTAAATGAAATATCAATCTGATCAGCACAGCATAAGAGTGAAGGCTTCTTGTAGTTGTAGTCAAATGATGTCATCATACATATCGCTTATGTAGGGTTCAATTAATCCAGTTCTTTAATCCAGGACAGTTACTTTTTTGCAAGAAATTCATAAAGTCTGTAGAATATTCAAGGGGATGCTTGCTTATGTAGTTCTTTCTCTCTGCAAATGTTTTTAATAAAGAGAGTAGCCACAGGTGGCATATTTCCTGAATACAAATACAACATACACTACAGGTTCCCCAGCCTCAAACAATCCCACATAAAACAGCTTCCTTCTAAAATAATGGTTAACATAAAGAGGAATCAATGCAATAAGAATTGTCAGACTTACTTCAAAGTCTTTCAACTTGACAATATGCTCATGATCCAATTTCTTGAGTAATTCAATCTCAGTAAGTAAATTCTCTGTTGCTGTCTTACTCAGAGAACTTTTTTGGATACATTTGATTGCAACCACATCCCTGGTGTCACCCTAAAGTAGGAAACAGAAGAAAAATACTGATATGGAACCCCAATAACATGATTAGCACGCTATAACAGATTGATTGTGATAACTGGGTAGGTAAAGTCTGCATATGAGCCAAGTGGCCCACCAGGCTGGTGCTTATCTCTGGTTTCTGCAGCGTGAATCGTCTAGGAGTATTTCTACTCCCCCTGGATGGGATACTAGTCCATTGCAGGGTTGCTCCCAGTATTAAATTTGCCAGTACCCATTTATACACCTGGGTGGAGAGAAGCATCGTGAGAGTAAAGATTCTTGCCAAAAAACTCAACAAAATGTCCGAGTCCTTGAACAAAGACTGTTCAACCTGGAGGTGAGCGCACTAACCATAAGGCCACCATTCCTCCACAAATAACTGGGTAGGATCAACTTATATTTCCAGCATATCAGGTATAACTGGGTGGGGGAGTCAGGTATGACTCTCTACTGACTTCTCTTTGCAGTATCAATAGATTTTTGCTCAAACTTTGTCCACTGAATATTTATCATATGAGAACTTTCATTATAAAATAAAAAAGGGGGGTGCCCATGCTCATTAAGGAGCAGTGAGACATTGAAAATGTCCCATTTTGGCATTATTTAATGCTTATTACAAGAACGTTCCAAGTAATTATAAAATCTTTGTGAGCCCAGACTCATGAAAACACACCTCAAACTACAGTCAATATTTGTGTCGGACACAAATAAACTTTTTAACTTTGATTTTGACAGAGAAAACATTGGAACCAAATTGCTTGCCAAAGCTATCAAACTGTAAAATAGAAAAGACTACAGTGCAGCTGCTATTTTCCTTATTTCTTCAATTTTCAGCAATAGAAGTCAGATCAGTCTTTTCTCACGCAAACCTAGTGATTAGTTAAAATGACTAGAAAAAATATTGAGGTGCCCAAGGTCGTTAGTGAGCTATAGCCAGAACTCAATATCAAGGCAAATCTGCCGTGTTTTCAATGTGCGCATGCATGATCGTGCATTAGTGATGCCATAAATTACGTGCAGTAAGGATGCGGAATGCAAATGTGAGGATTCACCTTAAGAGGGTTTCAGTTAAAAGAAAATGACTGAGGTTTATCATGGGCCAAAAAAGATTAACAGCTGTAATGATGGGGTGATCACATTTTAAACAGGGTTAACTCATAAGACATGGTTCCCCTGGACTTAGATTCCCCTCAGTTCTATTACCATTACTAGGGGCCTCCAGACTGAAGTACAGCCGTCTTTGATAGCAAATCCCCACACAGGCTTACATGTATGTGAGTACTATACAATGAACTCATTCCAACTGAGTATTGACGTGTGCTCCAGTGGCTTGATAATTCAGTGGTAGAGATTCAACACCAGTGTAGGTAATAGACATGCCCTTCGAATTTGCTGGCAACCCGCTAACTGCTTTCGTTTTTAGCGTATATCCGCAACAGGCAGATAACATAATACGTGATTCATTTCATGTATGATTATACTAGGTTTGCTTAGGGTATTTTGATTTCCCCCTTACTGTTGTAGGAATAGTTTTTTTTCTTCCTAAAGGATGCAAGCAAACTTGATTAAAAAGTCGAATTTTTTTTTAGAAGAGAAAAGAGGTACGTGAACGCACAAAAAATCCCAGGGGACTTCAGTCCCTCCAGTCAAGAAGTGCTTCAAAAAACTTTGAAGATTTTAGACTTTTACCTTTTTAAACGCCTTGTATACAGTTGCATAAGTTCCTTGGCCTAGTTTTTCGGTCATTACATAGTGTTCTAACCTCGGAGGCGGAACTACTCGTAAATCGGCGCTGGCCGCCATCTTGATTGTTTATTACGTAGCCCGCACGCAATACCGCTGTTTTTTGAATATATTTTTTTTCTTTCGGGGAGGGCCTGGGCAAGGGGAGTGCTCTCATTTTAATAAATAAAAATAAAATAAAACACTTTAATAGCTGACACAATTACTGGTAACCCAGTAGTTTACATTGTGGGCTATATATATA